TGCTCTGCTCTCCATTTTGGTTCAGTCCTGATTGAGACAATGGGAGGCTGGCTGAAGCCTGTTGCGTTTATTCTGTTCTCCTCCCTAAGGAAGGCTGATTTTCTGAAGGCCTGGAATTGTAGTCCCCCGCCCCATCCTTCTAGTACTCTACATCAAGCTCCCCTTCTTTCCCTCCCACTACAACCCGTGTCGTCTTCGGTCTGACTTACTTGTGGAGAATGTGCCATCAGTATGGACAGGAGGGGTAGAAGGAAGGAAAGGTGGGTGTCCGACAAAGAAAGACCGCAGGGACCGTTCGGAGAGGAGGGGAGAGCGCTGGGCTGGGATGTTCTCGCAGCTCCCCACGCTGTTGTGGATCTTGAGGTTCAAGGGTTTGTTCTTTTTCTTTGCTCTGAGAGAAAAGGAGATGGAAAGAGTCAGGAGGAAAAACACACAAGGAAGATGAGACTTTCCCCCCCCCCAATGGGTTACCATGGTTGGGGGAGCAGGGGGAGACCAGACCATTGCTGGATCAGACGAAGCATCCTGTCTCCAACAGTGGGCAGCCAGATGCCTCTCTGCAGGGAAAGAAGAAAACAGACCTCCCCTGTTCCCCCCCCCCTCCACAACCAGTGAAGGATCTGTTTAGCTATCGGATGAAGCAATCCTCAGCCTAATCTCAGAAACAGACTCTAAAGACTTAAGAGTGGAAACAGGTCACTGGTGGTGCATAAGCTAAGATCCTGAATTTAGCTGGTGGGAGTTCTGGTTCAGGTCTTCCCAACTGACTCTTTATACAATGTAAAGGTAAAGGTAAAGGCTTCCCTTGCTCGAAAGCCAGTCGAATCCGACTCCAGGGTTGCGATGCTCATCTCCATTTCAAAGCCAAAGAGCCAGCGCTGTTCGAAGACGTTTCTGTGGTCATGTGGCCGGCATGACTAAACACCAAGGCGCACGGAACGCTGTTACCTTCCCACCGAAGGGGTACCTATTTATCTACTTGCAATTTCTTGCTTTCGAACTGCTAAGTTGGCAGGAGCTGGAACTAGAGACGGGAGCTCACTCCGTCATGCGGCAGACCCGGGTCTCGAACTGCTGAACTACTGACCTTCCACAGCCTGCAGTTCAGCGTCTTAACCACTTGAGCCACTGCAGCTCCTTTATACAATGTAAAGAAGTGTAATTTTCTTATCGTGCAGTAAGGGCTGCAAAAGTACCTGTGATTAGTCTTACATTCCTTCACTAGTATAAACTTGGTTTTGGAGTAAGAGATTAGTGCCCTGACCTGGTTGGGCCAGCCCAGCCCAATCTTGTCAGACCTTGGAAACCAAGCAGAGTCAACCCCAAGGAAGTCCAGAGTCGCTATGCAGAGGTAGCCAATGGCAAACCACCTCTGTTCACCTCTCGCCTTGAAAACCCGATGGGGTCACCATAAATTGGCTGCCACTTCGACAGCACTTCCCACCGCCGAGAGACCAGTATACGATCACGGCTAAAATGTTGAGTCTGGGTGTGGAAAATCTGAGATAAAGTCCCAGCCACCACACAGCTCTCTGGGTGACCTTTGACAAGTCACTCTCTCTCATCTTAACCTACCTAATCTGGAGAACTGGGTTCGATTCCCCACTCCCCCACATGAAGCCAGCTGGGTGACCTTGGGCCAGTCACAGTTCTTTCAGAGCTCTCTCAGCCTCTAAAAATGAATCTAGCTCACCACGAGCACAATGCTCCGGGAAATTACAGGCCAGTCAGTCTGACGTCGATACCGGGTAAATTGGTGGAAACCATTATTAAGGAAAGAATTAGTAGGCACATAGATGAACAAAACCTATTGAGGCAGACTCAGCACGGTTTCTGTAAGGGAAGATCTTGTCTCACTAACCTGTTAGTGTTCTTTGAGGGGGTGAACAAACATGTGGACAAGGGGGATCCAATAGATATTATTTACCTTGACTTCCAGAAAGCTTTTGATAAAGTTCCTCATCAAAGGCTCCTAAGTAAGCTCAAAAATCATGGGATAGAAGGACAAGTCCTTTTATGGATCAAAAACTGGCTAGTTCATAGAAAACAGAGAGTGAGTGTAGGTGGGCAATTTTCTCAGTGGAGGGTGGTAAGCAGTGGGGTACCGCAGGGATCAGTACTTGGTCCACTGCAATTTTCTCAGTGGAGGGTGGTAAGCAGTGGGGTACCGCAGGGATCAGTACTTGGTCCACTGCTTTTTAACTTGTTCATTAATGATTTGGAGATGGGAGTAAGCAGTGAAGTGGCTAAATTTGCGGATGATACAAAGTTGTTCAGGGTGGTGAAAACCAGTGAGGATTGTGAGGCACTCCAAGGGGATCTGTCAAGGATGGGCGAGTGGGCGTCAACATGGCAAATGGGGTTCAATGTGGCCAAGTGCAAGGTGATGCACATTGGAGCCAAAAATCCTAAATATAAATACACATTGATGGGGTCTGAACTGGCAGAGACTGAGCAAGAGAGAGATCTTGGAGTTGTAGTGGATAACTCACTGAAAATGTCGAGACAGTGTGTGACTGCAATAAAGAAGGCCAATGCTATGCTGGGGATTATTAGGAAGGGTATTGAAAACAGATCAGCCAATATAATAATGCCCCTATATAAATCAATGGTGAGACCTCATTTGGAATACTGTGTGCAGTTCTGGGCACCACACCTTAAAAAGGATATTATAGCTTTGGAAAAAGTGCAGAAAAGGGCAACTCGAATGATAAAAGGGTTGGAACACTTTCCCTATGAGGAAAGGTTAAAGCGCTTAGGGCTCTTTAGCTTGGAGAAAAGACGACTGAGGGGTGACATGATCGAGGTTTATAAGATTATGCATGGGAAAGAGCAGGTAAAGAAAGAGGTACTTTTCTCCCTTTCTCACAATACAAGAACTCGTGGGCACTCCATGAAACTGCAGAGCGGTCGGGTTAGAACGGATAAAAGGAAGTACTTCTTCACCCAAAGAGTGATTAACACATGGAATTCACTGCCACAGGAAGTGGTGGGTGCTACAAGCATGGACGGCTTCAAAAGGGAATTAGATAAGCATATGGAGCAGAGGTCCATCAGTGGCTATTAGCCACAAGGTATAGCTAGGGGCTCTGGGGCAAGTGATGCTCTGTCTTCTTGGTGCTTGGGGGGGGGGGTCAACAGTGGGAGGGCTTCTAATGTCCTGGCCCCACTGCTGGACCTCCTGATGGCACTGGTATTTTTGGCCACTGTGTGACACAGAGTGTTGGACTGGATGGGCCTTTGGCCTGATCCAACATTGGCGTCTCTTATGTTCTTATGTTCTTAATGCTAAGAGCTAGAACTTGTGACTGCCAGATAATCCTAGGATCTCCTGGTTATTCTACACACAATGCCATACAATAATTATTTTAATTATTTACCTACCTCACAGGGTGGTTGTGAGGTGAAATGCTGACCAGAACTCCTTGTAGGAACAGTGGGATATAAATAAGTGTCTTGTACAGGTGGTATGGGGAGGGAGCACTCCTGGTCCAAAGACACTCTTGTTTTACCCACAAGCACAAGAAGTTGCCTTATATTGAGATTATAACAGTTCATCCACCTTTTCTGTTCTGACAGGTAGCTGGAGAACAAAGCCTGTGGGTGTGATGCCAAGGAATGGGGGGTCCTTTGCTACGGGTCCTCCAGACCACCCCTTACCTCACTGTAAGCATAACCTTCAGCACTGAGCTAAAATGAGTACTCATTTCTTTAAAAATTCACCCCCAGAATTCACATCTCACCATTCAGATTCTGAGTGTGCAGTTTCAAATACTAGTTCCGAACGTGCAACTTCAAAATCAAAATGCTTCGGTTTTCTTGGTATCTCAGCTTTTTGACACTGGCGGGTATCAACCATGAAATCTAATAAGCAGCCAACTATCAAATCGCATCGCTGACAAAATACCATTGTATGCCAACTATCAAATACAGCCTGTTATTCAACGCTGCTGCATGCCAACTAGAGAATGCTGCTTTAAAAATATCAAGCATCAATTAACAAATATTTCCTTCATTTGTAGAATTTTATGACTCGCTTTTCAACATTACATCAAGATGTATGACAAAAGCTATTAAAACAATAAAATCAATATAATATATCTACAGATCAAACAAGGGAGCAAAGACTCTAGAATTAAAGAACCATAATCAGTCCAGAATGCATGACTTAATAGAAAAAGCCAGTCTTAAAACCCATGCAGACAATTGACTCCATAACCAAACTTGCTTGGAAGTAAGCTAACAGTCTCACTCTACAACCAGAACTAGTCTCTGTAGGTTAGGTAATCTGTTTTAACATCCTGCCCTTTCTCATTTGATCCTCACAACAACCTTGTAAAGTAGGTTAGCCTGAGAGGAGGAGGAGAAGAGACTGGATTTATACCCCGCCCTTCACTACCCGAAGGAGTCTCAGAGTGGCTTACGAACTCCTTTCCCTTCCCCTCCCCACAACAGTCAGACACCCTGTGAGGTAGGTGGGGCTGAGAGAGCTCTTGACAGAAACTGCTCTTTTTCAAGGACAGCTCTTATCAGAACTACGGCTTGCCCAGGGTCATCCAGCAGGTGCGAGTGGAGGAGTGGGGAATCAAACCTGGTTCTCCCAGATTAGAGTCCGCGCACTTAACCACTACACCAAACTGGCTCTCACACCAAACTTGCTCAAGTGGGTGTGCTTGGCTCAAGGTGATCCAGTGGGATTTGTGACCAAGTGGAGATTTAAATCTGGCTCTCCACAGTCCGAGTCCAGCACTAACCACTATACTACAACAGCTGTCAGCATGTGGGAGAAAGCACTCCTGTGAGATGCTGAAATCAAGAATCCACGGACTCCAGTGTTTGTAGAGGAGAATTTCTGTCTGCTAAGTTATTTCAGCCCTACTTAAATCTTACACTCCCGCCATACAAAGGATTAGTCTACTTACCAAACCAAAAGGGCTCTCTCTGAAACATAATACCTTCCGCCCTCTTGTGGTGGAAATTAAACACAGAGAAGTGAAGGCATTAAGACTGCAGTGTTTGACCATCTGGGCATGGATATTTCTCCATTAACTCTTCACAATTTATCCTGCCAAGGCAGTGATTCCTGCTTTACACAGGGAACGGAGCAATGCATCTTACCTCTTCACCTTCCCTTCTCATATACCAAAGTGACAGGTGTTTTTAGGAACTGGCTGGCTCTATCCATCTCTGTCTCCATTCAATTCCCATCCTTGCCAAGAGCTTCCCCTCTTTCAGCCGTGCCTGGCTGAGCTGCTCAAATCTTAGTTCTAAGCAAAAACCTTGTTAATGTCCCAGATCAGAGCCCTCTGCTCAGATAAGTGTGATGAGATGGAACATGCCTTGAACTGCTTTATTGAAACAGGACCTGTGAAAGAGGTTGACCAGTGATTT